CACTTTGCCATATAATAAACATCTTATTAACCTTGCTTGCTCTGTCCATACGTAAGTAATTATGGAAYCCCGTTTTTCCCACTTTTTCATGGCCTGGCGCTATGCACCTTGGCTATGTAAGGCAGTGGCAAAAACTCAATCCATAACTTAGGGCAAGGACCTAACTCTCGGTAAATAAGAACTACGTAAAACTAGCTAGTTTACCTGTTGCATGTTCTGCATKGGGATAGCTTCTCCTCCATGTCCAAGTCTTGGATCATTCCATGACGTGGTTCTTGTTGCATGATTAATAAAATAACTAAAAATATACAAAATTTAATATTTTACAAACATTCACCAACAGTGTATTTACATAAAGAGAGGAAATGCAAAATCTGATTAGCAAACGCTGAAGAAAAGTCCATACCAAAAATCTGTCTTTTACATAGTTTTTTTTTAAATATTAGAATCTTCACAGAAAAATATAGCGGGTTAAGATGAACATTAAAAACTAGAAATGATATATGTGATAAAATGAACTACAGCGTAATAATAGTGGAAAATCAGGGAAAGAAAAAGACGAATTCAAAAATTATCGACGAGAAACAAGTACAGCTGTTCACAAGTACGAAAGTCAACCAACCAAAAAATCACTTTTAAAAACTAACTAAACCCTTTATAGCCAACTATATATAGTAATTCAAAAGTTTAATAAGTGTAGACTTACTATCTRCCGATGTTTGGATCGTATTTTGCCTCCCAGCCAGGTGGTAAGGGCATGCTTTGCCAAGAAGGCTGAAACTGCTGCCATTGAGCCGCCATCTTGATTTCCTGTTGTCAATAGGGCGTGAGCAAATTGTAGTTGTTAGGGAGGGGAGGGTGAGGATAACTACTCTTGAACTTGCAGATAAAAATGGAAATMTGTTAATCACTCTTTATTATTCTTTATTTATTATTTTAGAGGCATGGAAAAGGAATATATTACTAACAATAGGTAATCTAATGCTTTGACTTTTTTTCTAGATACTTTTTAATTTAACTTATGTTACACATACATTATCATTTTAATTTAGTTTTCCCCATGCATTATTCTTATGGAAAATCATCAAAATACAGTACATGCATATTGAATTKATATACGTCATCAAGCCTACTTCGTCGCGTGCGATTAAAAGAAAAACAAACACTGCAATTATTTAAAAAAAACTCTTGTTATTTATTTTATTTTTATATTTTCTCCATCGTTGCTTGGTACTTGGTTTTGATACAAACTGGAAATGGATCAAATGTTTTGGTATATATACACTATGAAAAATCCTTCATTTTCGATGCTGTCTTAAAGAGTAAACTGGCTATAATCCACAAGACAAGCCAACTGTGTGTCTTCCACCATCGCAGGACCATCTGTCAAAAATACAACAAAACTGTTAAAGAACAGGAGAGAAAGTTTTGTATGATTGTACAACAGTATGGTAACGGTACGAAGATAACGACGGGTCTTGGTACGAGTGGGGAAATGATACAGCAGATGCGCACGTTAGTCCTACTATACCGCATCTTTGTGGTTGGACGAATTACTGAAGAAAATGAGATGCCATTTTAAAGTTATGGCATGTCGTACCGTGTACATTATGCTTGTAAGTCAGTGCCATTCGTTTGCAAATCATACAAAAGTCCCTCCATTCTTGAAACTAAGTAACGTAACGTCTGTACCACGCAAATTTTATGTTGCCTTACAAAGTTCACCGAGTTTGGATTAGTTCGATTGACGAAAGCCAATCACTAGACGCGTCAGAAATAGACGTAAGGTTTCCATAGAGATCTTACCCAGAGGAAAGTAGCTGGCATCCTTGTTTATCTCTTGTCTAGCACTTTGGACAGCGTGTTTGATGGCGAACAGAGCAGAACATGACATGCACATAGGTGGCTCACCAACCGCTTCAAACAGAATCAACACAAATCAATGATCAGATTGAGAAAATCTACAGGGGCCCCATAACGTTCTCTGTGGCACACCATATAAACATATTACTACGTATTGCACGTAAAAATATTTYAAAGCATATCATATACCTTTGGATCCGAGTATTCCTCTAGGGTTGGGTGCGTTCTTTAAGAGATTGACTCTGAAATCGAYAGGGATGTCCTTTGAAGATGGCGGTTTGTATTCCTGTAGAAACGACCGAATTAATCGATGACAGAATGAATAGATGACTGGATAAAAAACAGTATACCTTTTTAATATGATGGTGAAGTAATGAAAATAGTTGTAATTAATGTGGATGGATATAGAGATGATGATGATGATGATGAAGACGACGATGATGTTGATGTTGATGATGACGAGGTCAGTGATAATGGCTTGAAGATAATTACTTGAAGATAATTATCATGATGCTCGTATTTGTGGATATGATGAGAGTTGATAATAATGATAACGATGAGTGATGATAATGACCCATGATGAAAGTGATGATATATTGACTGATGATGGCAGAGATGATGATGTTACATGATGATGATGAATGATGATGACGATGCCAGATGATGACTGATGATGACTGATGATGATGATAATGATGACGATGTTTGATGATGATGATGATGATATACTATGATGATAATGACGATGATGATGATCACGGATGATATTTAACGAATAAAAAAGCTTTCTCCGTGCTTCGCAACAAGCCACGCAGGAAGTGGCCTAAGAACGAAAGAGTGAGTGAGTGACTCTTTWTTACACTARTAAAGCACAGTTTTCGAYCAATCAGCGCGCGCGTACTTTCCAAACTATGTAATAATTACCCATGTAGAATACGTAAGCTCTTCTCCAGTCTTCGAGTCGTAGATCGCCTTTTCTGTCATCCAGTACCCAAGCCCCATGACAAATGCTCCTTCCACCTGACCTACGTCCAGTTCTGGATTCATGCTTCAAAATATGATTGACGACATTAATACAACAACAAAAAAGTAAACGTGAAAATGAATGGAAGAAAGATAGAACGTATCTGTATTTCGAATGTCTCCCCGATTAGTAGGGCGCTTGTGCCTGGCTAGAAGTATTCGAGACGTTAAAGTAATAAAGTTGTTGTTGTTGTTGTTGTTGTTGTTGTTGTTGTTGTTGTTGTTGTTGTTATGAAATGAAGTACTCACCTCTCCCCGCAGTCGTACAGTATGTCAGTTCTAATTATATTCCTCTCTCCTGTCAAGACGTCTATCTCTACTTCGGTACAAGTCACTCCATACGTACTGTATACCAGAGGYTCTTTACTGTTACCTTGAAACCTACATTACGACAAAAAAGAGAAAGCATTACTGACATTCCATAGTCACCAACCTGTTAGTTGATGGTTGAAATGTCTCGTATACTTGAACRTTAGCCTCTTGACGACTTCCCGTATCAGGACATAAAAGAAAAGAACAGAAGCAAAAACGTAAAGATGAGAAAGAGAAGCAAACGGCAAGAAAAGGGGGGGAAATATAAAAAAAATCTAAAGGAAATGGGRAAAAAACGTGGTAAGGATTTGAGATAAACTAAGTAAAAATATATGAAGTATGAAATACAGTTGTAACCAGAGAAAGGAATAGAAATGGAAAGGAATAAAGAATGCAATAGAACGGGATGGGATGGGATAAAATGGGATGAGATAAGACAGGAAGGGTTGGGATAAAATGGAATGGGATAAGTTGGGATACAATGGAATGGAATTAGTTGGGATGGTATAATACATACATGGCACTAGCAGTCAGATTAACACCCTCTTCATAGCACTTCTGTATCAACTCCAGCCATGTGGATGGCTTGTACTTCTGACGGATCGGTTCCATTCGTTTATTCAGAATGTTACAGCTCAGGATTACTGACTGTTAACACAACAATAGATGATAKCTGAGTTGAGCATTCTACAGAAAGACTGTTGATGGTGGGGTATATTTRGACAATCTTAACCTGTGGTCGAAAGCTAAGCTGTGTGCAGTACATGGCATTCAATAGGCAGCTATTTCAAAGAAGGTTAATGAWGGTTTTGTTGCATRYCGCACATTGCATGTTGCCTACTAGGCTTAAAATGTCAAAACAGTGAAAATTTGCTATCATTGTAGCTCTTCGCTGATGGTATTCACATCGATACTGTAGCTTGAGCTTGCTATACAACAGGCAACAAAATCTTTGCCAACCTTTTTTGAAATAGCTGTATAAATAAACTACAAACTCTAGCTAGGAAAATGTTATCATCAAATTCTAGGAAAACGACCATAAAAGGGGTCTTCTCTACTGAGAAACGACTAGTATTATTTATATAGTATTATTGGGGTAGTATAATTCAGTAACATGAATCCATACCTCACAGCACAACTCGCTTGTTACACTTCCTCCACTAGAATCACCTTCAACGAACCAACACAAAAGTATAATTTGAAACCTCTGTAATATCGATTATATTAAATTAAATATGGTTTACRCTATTGWGCRGTTTTGCAGCACCCATGTTGAAARAAAAAAAARRAAAWWTTTTTCTTTAGGAAATGAAATATCTAGTCAAGCAAAATCAAAAATGCATTTTTCCTGTCTTACAACATGGTAGCCATGAAATCATCCCATTGAGATGGTCAATATTGGGTACCAAGGATCCTGTAGCATGCAGTAACACATTGGCCTCTCCCCGGGCATCCAGATCTATTTACTAAACTCCGCAACACATGTAACTAGAGTTTATCAGGTCTCTACTTTGATTCAAAGGCTTTTTTTCCTCTCTCTCCGGTATTCCACGCTTTGCGAAAACCAACACGCTAAGCTCCAATTTGATCTGTAATGAAGTAACCTTTCCCTCACTTAGATCAGCCCAGAGGACGTTCAGGATTTAATCTATGAGTTAGGTGTGCCCCATCAAGCCACCTTCACGATCTAAATCCTAGTATATATSACTTAGCCATGCTCATTCCAAGTATTAAGCAATCAATTTGAAGGTTTTCATTGACATACTGTTAGGGGTTGTTAAGTTTGAAGTCGTCTTAATTGAGATGATATCCAGAGGAATCTTGAGGCAGTATGCTACTACTTGCGCCACCTGTATATCACAAAACAATGCCAGCTAACATCAATATAAATAACATATAGCTTGAAAGTATTTTACTCTGGACTCCAGAGGTTCTGTTTTGCTTTCTATGTTTGTAAGAAGTATGTAATTACAGTGGAACCCCGCTCTAAGGACACCCGCTTAATAAGGACACCTCGTTATTAAGGACAGGTTTCAAAGTCCCAACGAAAGCTCCATACATTTTCTGTTAAAATAACCCGCTTTATAAGGACACCCGTTAATAAGTACAAAGGACACATTTCTAGGACCTGAATGACAGTTTCCATACATAAACAACCCCGCATTAAGGACACTTGAAATTGGAAGACGTCTTTACTGTATTTGTTTATTGATATAATGAACTAAATACGGATTATATTGTCAGTGATCACTGATTATTGCAGTATAGTTTGCTATTACAGCATAATGAAATAGACAACGCTCGATTTTAGCAGGATTTTAAGCGATGTTCAATTAGTTTGGTTCAATCCCAGTATTTTGAACTCTGTTCAAAAAAAAAAAAAACTCACAGATTTCTTTAAATGAAACTTATACAGCACAGTACAGTATAGTACAGAAATGATGTAGTGCTTGTACAGTAACGTGCTTTTTGTTGGCAGTTTAGGCTGTTGTATTGAACATTGTAGCTGCAAGTGTGCAGTACAGTAAAAAGAAAACAGTAAACAAACAAATCTCACAGACGTCTTTAAATTAAATTGTACAATACAATGCAGTAAATGCAATTGTAGTTCTTATACAGTAATGCATTTTTTGTTCCAGTTTAGGCTGTTATGATAGACGTGTTCTACCGTTCTACAGTTCTACCCATTCAATATTAGGCTGTTATATCGACCATTGTAGTTCAAGGTTTACAGTACAGTAAAAATAAATGTTTCAAAATGTGTTTTCAGCTGTTTTTCTGAAACCTCGGTTAATAGGGACACCCCGTTAATAAGGACAGTTTTGTCCGTCCCAACGGTGTCCTTATTAACGGGGTTCCACTGTACCACCAAAGGCACAGGGGAGGGACATTGCATCAAAACAAAAAAGGCCAGAATGAATAAATAAAATAAATATCCTCTGGAACCCAGGGTAAAAAGTGTTTGTAAGCAATCCGATGGAAAATTAAAGCAGTTACAAACAAGAAARAATAAAATTTTACAAATCAAAAAAATATATTAGATTCTACTCTGATGTCTGCAAAGGCAGCTAGAGAGATCAGGACAGACCAATAGCTAGACTTTTACAAATTTGCTTGAATGGGTGAAAACGAAGCAATTGCATAAGTCATACTTGGATTTGATGTGTTCATACATTTASAATGATATYAATAATAATAATATAATATACAATRCAATAATRATGTYTGTCTGATGTTCTGATTAGCCGRCRGGAGGTGATTAACAATATAAGTGGAMCTCRTGCCTACCTTAGTATTAATACCCTGCCCCATTTCTACTCCAGCGTGGCTGACTGATACAGAACCGTCATCATGGAATATGGACACAAGYGACAAGAATCTTTCACCTCCCCACTCTATACCAAAGCGGAGAGGAACTACTGATATGCCTTGCTTGCGCCAACGATTCTCCTGAAAATGATTCCTGAGTGTGAGTATGGAACATAAAAAAGGACTTCGGTGGATGAATGAATGAATTAATGAATGAACTTTATTTATCCACGTAAACAACTCTGTAACACTGCTTTTCAGGCGGGCCGTGCGTACATGGAATTGATGATGATATTGATGATGATGGCCATGAATGACGATAGATGATGATGAAGATGATGGTGGGGATAATTGCTGTTGATGATATTGATGATGAGGGTGGAGATCATGGTGATGGGGTCCAGTGACGATATGACGATAATGCTGGTAATGTTGATGCTGATGCTGATGCTGATATGCATGATGGTGATGACGGTAACGATGCCATAATGAGGACGATGATGATGATGATGATGGTAACAATGATGAACATGATGATGATATATGACAACTGATGGTGATGACGACATCAGTAATAATGATGATGATGTTGGTGATGATGATGAAGATATTGATGATGATGGCGAGACTGTTAATGATACACTAATAGCACAACAACAGCACACTATTAATATACCTTATTGAAAGCATCAATAGCTGCTTTTCGTTTAACAAAGTCTGCAGATGTTTTCAAATCTACAAAATAAGGTAAAATACAACATCTTAAAGTGGACTGATTTAAAAGGTTCTTTGCTGTCTGTATCAATGACTCACCTGACCACAAGGTATCAATATTACAGAAGACAAGTGCTTCTCCAGTGGGACACGTCTATTTGAAACAAGACTTGATTTAGCCAAAAGCTAAGCATATCTGATCTGTCCTACCACACTTGACAAAAGAATCTCATAAAACAATTCAATTCAATTCAAACCTCACCTGGCCTTTCTTGTATAAATTGATCTGTCGAACTTCTTCTGGAGTCTTGTTCAATGCCTTGGCCACGTGTTCCATAACTGACTCCATGATGAAGATTGCTTGAATCGATGCTAGGATGGCAAACGTACAAAATGTGATTGTCAAGCAACACAAGGTTGTTATGTCAGTATAAGCAAGTTAGAGATGTCACAACAAAAAAAAAACTATCCATTGGACCAGTCACAAATTACTTATTAACCAATCATGCATTGGCACTAGATAAAACGAGGATACAAAATGTCATGCAATACTTACAAGGTGACCTGCACCAAGTGTTACTAGCGAGGTTAGTTTTACAAGAAACAGGTGTGACCTTCCAGTTTGCACAACGATAAACTGAAACAAAATTAAATTAAACCTTAAATTCTATAGTCACTGAGGATTTTAGAAGAATGTGTCATACCACCCCTTACCATTGTCACACCAGTTCATAGCTCCATTAACATCAGTGTCATTTGATGTGCAACCAAAGTCAGCATAGTAAGTCATTTCTATCCCATTTAARATGCCAGCATCACTGACTCCAACCTAAATATATATTTTATAACAAAGGTGAATGTACTTGCAAACTGTGTTTGAAAGCTGAGACGGGAAGACAGGAAGACAGGAAGACTAAGAAAAGACATGGCAAAAATAACTGTATGATTGAGTACTTTATTGAGCAGAATGAAGAAATAAAGACAGAGTAATAAGATTATTTCTTACTTTGTATGTARCCATAAATGGAGCACGTTTGCCAACCATCTTCATGTTGGTATGAAAGTTCATTAGCATTCGAACAGGTCTGAAATATTAAAGGAAAAGAAAATGGAAAAAGAACAACAAAATGAACAGACGAAGTGAGGAGTGAATGGAAATTGTTAGTTCACAAGCAAATTTTTCCTTATCCAAGTGCAACAGACATTCTGTTTTCCCATTTCAATTCAGTACATGTCATTCCCTTAGAAGGATTTTTTACTTGCGTCTCTTGATATATAATATAAATTTATTATATCTTTAACAGTGCTGCATGCCTTACCGTGAACACTTCTACAAATTTTTGATTTCTTTTTGACATTTTTTAAACAACTTTATGACAAGTTTCAAAAAGGGGAAAGGCATTAGATTCGAAATGGGAAARCATTACGCCCAAAGYGAATTCATTCTCAAATTTACCTCCGTAGTTTGTTGGCAGCTATAGCAAGAGCAGTAGCTGCATGGACCGAACGCGTAGCTTTCCCACCATATGCACCACCACACCGCTTGACCTTCACATTGATTCTGATAACATGACCATGAATTAAGCAAAAAGAAGTCTTGGTTAGAAAGATTTATAAATACATTAAACATATGCAAATTATGGTTGTCATAGTGGTAGTGCACGCCCCTCTCATCTCAATTCCAAGATTTGGCATCAAATGTAAGTAGTGCTTGTAAGGGGTTTTCTCTGAATTCTCTGGGKTTTTTTAATGCTAGATTCTAAATTGATATGCAAATTAACCGTGCACTGAATTAATAGATCAGCCCAGAGGTTGTTTCAGAGTTCAATCTGTGAGTTAGCTGTGCCCTGACTTAGATCTGCCCAGAGGTTGTTTCAGGGTTTGATCTGTGAGTTAGCCATGCACTGACTTTGATCAGCCCAGAGGTTGTTTCAGGGTTCGATCTGTGAGTTAGTCATGCACTGACTTAGATCAGCCCAGACTTTGTTTCAGGGTTCGATCTGTGAGTTAGCCATGCCATGACTTATGGATCGACCCAGGGTTTACACGTGTATGAATAACTGTAGTTTTGAATCAATGAATAAACGAATGCTCACTTGTTCGAAGACCAACCAAGCACTCGGGCAACAACACCTYGAAGCAGATCAACCCATTGGGTGGCACAGTGAATAGTCAGTCCATCTTCTTCAGGGACACATAGACACACCTAGAACAATCATGACAAAAGAAATTAATTAGAATTGTTTAATTACATTTTTTGATTGATTATTAAAATGGCAAGTCAATCCTAACAGTCATGTGACTTCACCTGTGTCTCCATGTGAATATGGTGCTGCGTTCCCATGGCAATCTCACCAGTGATWACTTTTGGTGAAGATTTGATAGCAGCTGAAAAAAAGACCACATTGAAAAAGTGAAGCAGTCATTGCTCCCTTTTGCCAGCCATGCAACTATTCCCTCCTTCTCCAAACTTTCCCACTTTCCTGCATCCATCTTTCCTTCCTTCCAAAAATCAATCCTCCATCCATGAATTCAATTCATTCATTTACCTTCTGCATCCCCTACAACCAGTGGTTTTGCTGTTGCAGGAAAGAATGACTTGGCTGCAATGGCTTGTGGGATAGTGAGTATTTGTGGTTTGATTTCCTTGTATGTTACCATGACAACTGAGGCAGCCTCATCAGCATGTCGCTGTGTATCTGGAAGTGGCAAAATGTGGATTATTGGTAGGCACTGGTCATTTAATCATTTAATAAAATTTGATTATAATATATATGAACCAA